AGTTTAATTACGATTTTTGCTAATTTCTACAAACATTTTTTTAAACAATTTTGAAAAAAAATTAATTTTTTTAATTTATGTCATTTTTTCTAATTTTCTGCTTTTTTACGTATAGCATTTAAATCCTAAAACGTTTTTAAAAAGTATAATGTTTACAATAATATTTTATTTTAAAAAATGTTTAATCTTTTTGCCATATTGTCTTATATTTTGAATTCTTATTGTTTTTTTATGTGTAATATTTAAATCCTAAAATGTTCAATAAAGACATAACGTGTAACTGTATTTTATTTTATTTGTAAAACAATGATAAGATTAGAAATATTTCGATTAAATTAAATGATTGGTGAACAATCGTATTATTTTATTTTGCAATAGTACAATAAAACACTATAATATTTTTCAGGTATTGGAATGGATGCCTCCGTGACGCCAGTGCGACATGGCGGGCTTAGCCTAGTGCAGACTACGGATTTCTTTTACCCACTAGTCGACGATCCTTATATGATGGGTAAGGATTACAGCACACCAAATGCATAAGCATAGTCAACATAAAACTGTATTGACCATTGAACATGTTATATAAATCAATATGACAACTTTATGCTGGATGGAAGAAAGAAGACATTGAGACAATAACAACACACGAAATGTTATGGGATCAAGTCTTATTAAACATACAAATTCAGATGTTTCTGGTGAAAACTTTTTATATAATTTTTTATAATTTTTATGTAAATTTCAGCATTTTTTAATTTTATAATTTTTCAGATTTTGTATACAAATTAGAACTTTTCAGGAGTACCGAGAAAGTCTACGTTTTTCTAGAATCCTTCGTACACTACATGTAAATTCTAAAATCTGTAAAAGTAGATTTAAAGTATTTCCTTTTTTTTAGAAGTTATAAAATTAAAAATCTTAAATTATTTCAGAATTTACATATATGAAAAATTCTACAGAAAGATTAAGTGTTCTCTGAAATATTTCTGAAAAGTATCTTAATTCGTATAAAAATGCAGAAAAAATTTAATATAAATGTAATATGTATTCCGTCTTCATTGCTATTGGAGGTGTCTTCCAGGTAAAATCGCGTGCACCAATGTTCTCAGCGATCTGTATGCGATGGGTGTCACGGACTGCGACAACATGTTGATGCTGCTGGGTGTCAGCACAAAGATGACGGAGAAAGAGCGCGACGTCGTCGTACCGCTGATAATGAGAGGATTTAAGGATTCTGCTCTAGATGCAGGTACCACGGTAACGGGTGGTCAAACAGTCGTAAATCCATGGTGCACCATCGGTGGAGTCGCTACTACCGTTTGCCAACCAAACGAGTATATCGTGTACGTAATAATTTAATTATGACTAGTATCAAGTATCAGCATTGTTACATTTAGTATTAATCTTTATAATGGAAATTCATAGTTCATTTTTATTTCAAGATCGTCTTAAGTAATGTCTTAAAATGCTAATACATGTATGATTTTATGATTGGTTCATGACAGCTGACTATTTTAAGACAGTCTTGAATAAAAAAAAAAGTATAAAAACTAACTATGAATACCGGCCGATGATTGTTTGCAGGCCAGATAACGCTGTAGTTGGGGATGTATTGGTCCTAACAAAACCTCTTGGCACACAAGTTGCCGTCAACGCGCATCAATGGCTTGATCAGCCCGACCGTTGGAACAGAATCAAACTTGTAGTGAGCGAGGAGGATGTGCGAAAAGGCTATCAACGTGCAATGGACAGTATGGCAAGGTTGAATAGAACAGGTACACATACCACGTGATTTAATGCTAATATAAATCACGCAGGCTATCTCAAACTTAATTTTAATAACAAATTCTTCGACCAATTTGGAATTAAAATTTTCCTCGCTGTCGAGAAATACTGTCGAGAAAGATCGGCGTTTATTTCAACTCAATTTTACAACTTAAGACTTTAGTATTAAAGTTTTGTTAAAATATGTTTATGTGAAACTAATTTAAATTAGTTTATTGTTTCCGAAATGGGTTATAATTTATCTCATGTATTTCAACTCGCATATTTTCAACACTTCAATCTTTTCTAAACCGAAGTAAGTACAGAATGAGAATCGGAATCGATTGTTCTTACACAGCCATGTACCATCTAATCTAATATGAAATTAATTGAGAATATAAACGTTATTTATCTGTTTACCTAATGAAAATATTTTTGTTAAGAAAGAATCAAATTTTAAATTCGTTAGAAAATGTTTCATCAAACTTTGTTAATAGAATCCTTTGTTAAATTAATTAAAATTAATCATGACCGTTTGATTTTCCAGCTGCTAGATTGATGCATAAGTATAATGCACACGGAGCCACAGACGTCACCGGTTTCGGTCTTCTAGGACATGCTCAAAATCTGGCAAAACATCAAAAGAATGAAGTTTCCTTTGTTATCCATAATCTGCCTGTTATTTCGAAGATGGCTGCAGTAGCAAAGGCGTGTGGAAACATGTTCCAGCTATTACAGGGTCATTCTGCTGAAACTAGTGGCGGTTTGCTCATTTGCCTTCCTCGAGAACAGGTTATTAATTTACTCATTAAATCATATTACTGTTAAATAATCATACAACTGTCGAATTTATAAGCGTTATTAGATACATTTAGGCAATTGAAAAATATTAATGTATAAGTTCTGTATGACACACGCTTAAGGTTTGTTTGATAAGTGAAAAATATGATTTCCGATCAGTTCGATATTTTTTTCGCTTATATGGTGAAAAATTTCAGCGAAATTTTTTCACCATATAATTTATCACCAAGGATGTTTATTCTTGATGGAAAGTTTTCCTGTCAATACAGTAGAATATCTTGTATTCGTGAGATGTTCTAAAGAATGGCAGGTAGAGAAACAGGAGAGTTTTAAGTACTATATATCGCTCATATATATTTAGTCGTTTAGCTCTTCTACAACTGTGTACACTTATATTTATTAATTTAGACAGATAATTGAATCTTACAGAAGTCTCGTCCACGAATCTAATCGGTAACAGTTAGGTGTAATTTTCGGATATAAAATTGATACAATTTTTTAGACTGCGAATTGTGTCTTGTAGGCTGCGGCGTATTGTAAAGACATCGAAAAACAGGAAGGATATCAAGCATGGATTATCGGTATCGTGGAAAAAGGCCTACGTACGGCCAGAATAATCGACAAGCCACGAGTAATTGAAGTTCCAGCTAAGGAAAAGGATGGCGAGCTTTGGTAAAGAAAAAAAATCCAAGGATGTCCCACATTTGTCTCCTCAATTATATATACATATATACATTTGGAAAATAGTACGCATACACTCTTAACAGCACTTTTATGTGCACTACAGATGGAAAAAAAATTGTTTAATACTTATCACTGTATTCTCCTACAAAAAAACATTACGTTTTAAATGATACTAAAATCTTGATTACTAAATTACAAAATTAGAAAGCCATTGCAAGAAGACGGCTCTTGTGATTTAATAATCGATTTATAGTTCTTGATAAATAGCGAATCACACATCGTGTTTTATTCTAAGTGATCGTATCTTGTAGAGAGAGTTCATTTTTTTGTTTTTTTTTTTTGTTTTCTTTCCATATTGACGACTTGTAAAGCTAATAGCAGATTTAAAGATGTTCGAAGTCGATGCATCAACTTTTCTTGTACAAGGAAGATTAAAAGAATGATAAATTTAATATCTCTAAAATTAAGGTAGCACTAAGTTCTCAGATTAAGAAGCTTCAAAACCGCAACCCGGTTAAATATTCAAATATGAACATATTATATATACATAAATATATATCGGGTTGCGAATTTGGGTGTTAACGGTATTTGAAAGAGATATTAATCACTGATAAAGGCAGAGATTCTACGCGATATATTTTACCAGACGCAAAATACAAAATGACTTGATAACGTACGTTATTTTATGTAACAGGTTACACAATAAAACTATAAAACAAGAACGCATATATCGCAATAAGGACAATGATTCTTGCGAAGAAATAGATATCTTAATAAGTAGTATATAAAAGGTTTACGATTCTCACATTTCGATGAGATGTAATCTAAAAGTTTTAAGTAGAGCACCATACACATACACAGACATAAAAGTCCAAAGGACGAAGGCCTTCAAATTGTCTCCTATGCGTACGCTTTTAATAATTCAAAGAAGTTAAAAGCACAGGCCCTAACGTTGTATTACTTTTTCATATGAATAAAGTGCTACTTTGTCAATAAAATTATCTCGTGCTTTTTTTTTCAATAAAATTTGCAATTTATATAAATCTTGTGTTTTTTTCTGTTTTTAGACAATTCAAAAAATTTTTCTTTTTTTAAGTTATTTTGTTATAAAGTTATACTAATTGTATTAAAAAAACAGCGACTTTATGAGTGTGCAGTAATTGTTGCTTATGATTGAAATACATTTTTCGATCCATACAATAAATCTAGAATATACCAATAGTAGCAAACTCTCATTAAATTGTTATTTTCGGAACGATGTAAAAAGAAAGCTGTCTGAAAGATGTACTTTTTATTTAATGACACAGATAATATAAGTATCGTTCTATCTTCGGTAAGCTTTGTGTCCACCATACTAGAAATCAGTCCGAGATCTCGAACGAAGAAAGAATTCACCAATCGCATGGGTGCTGTGACCGAATACGATTTGTTAAAGCTTTCTTTGTCCGAAGTCTCAGATCGTTTACTAATATCCTAAACATAAATCTCTACTCATGGAATGCCAAGAAAGAGACGATATTTATGTCGACTTATGTCACTAAATGAAAAATACCCATATAATCATTAAGAACATCAGCTTACAATTAGTTGGTCAGAGAGTGGTACTCTACGGCGAAAGTCGCGGATTTGATTCCTTCAGTCCAAGCTTTTTCTTTTTGGTGAAATATTCATGTAGGATTAATTCTATTATTTTCGTAAATAGCGCTTAAACTTCTACTGAAAACACTGTCGAAAAGACACATGATCGTCGAGGACCATTAGCTCAATTGGTCAGAGCATCGCCCTATTCATATAAAGCGAAGGTCGCGGGTTCGATCCCCTCATGGTCCAAGCTTTTTCTTTTTGGTGAAATGTTCATGTAGGATTAATTCTATTATTTTCATAAATAGCGCTTAAACTTGTACTGAAAACACTGTCGAAAAGACATAAGCTTTCTTTTTTGCGAAATACGTACGTACGTAGAATGAATATTATATCATTTTTAGAAAAATGGTATAATAGTATTTTATTTTATATAGGTTTATAATGTGTGAATCGTAATAAGGTATACTGATATATAAGAGGAAATAAATTGTTTTATCTCTTAGAGATAGAAAAATAACTTATTGATCAGTATTCCTAGTCGGTTCTTATTTGTTTTAAAATGTTAATGCGGCTCTCTTGACCAATATTCATAGTCGATTCTCATATCTAAGATTATTTAAGTATAATCTTAAGATGCCATGACTAATCAGGCAGTCGCGCATTAGTATTTTAAGATATTACTTAAAACGATCTTAAAATAAGTAATTGTGAATATCGGCCTCTGATTGGTTTATGGTATCTAAAGATTGTACTTAAGATACGGTGTAAAATATAGGATTTGACTATGATTACCGGCCGTATAATTGCGTTTTTGTATGCAGTTGATGATGATAGGTATATGTAATTAGATCTTTTGCTTTTATATTTATAATACAATGTGCCGGATAATAGACGATCAGTCTTGAAAAATCGCTTAGCCGAGGTAGATGGAAGTCAGCTTCGGTTCGAATATCGATCATCCGAAGTTTAGTTATGGTTTTAAGATTACTCATTTTTATAATTAAAAAAAAATTTTTTTATTTAAACAAATTTTTTAAAATTACCATAAAGTATTTCAAATCATTCAACTTTTATTTAGAACATTTTTTTTATCTCTTACAGTTCAGCGGTATTCGCTTTGAAATGAAAAAATCAATTTTCTTCAATAAATGCAGCGATTGAGTATTTATTAAAAAATGGCTACGTTCAGTAGAAAAAGCAGCTTTGCAACTATACAATATAAAATTATTAAATTATATACTCATCCTCTCGCGTTGTGTCTGAGGATTAACTTAAAAAAAATCAAATTAAAAGTTAATAGTTACCGATAAAATGTAACTAAATTAAGTTAAAATTAATTAATTTTTTAACTTAACTCTTTTATCTTTTTAATTTAGCACTATCCAACTTGGTTTTTGACCCGTGTCTTTCACTATATTTAAAAGTATTCTGTTACTTATATTATAAGATACTATTATTCATAGTATATTTAACTATAAAAATATGAATAAAAGAATCTTTTTAAACATAGTTGAAAGATTGAAATCTGACCAATCAAAACAATAGGAGCTAAAATTCCTTTGCTCTCATTGGTCAAATTAATCTTTAATCTTCGATCTCAATCTTCAATGCGTAGTTTGATTCCGGCCTTAGATTCAGTGAAATTTATTTCCCTTCGATGCATTGCGATGCACGTGACGTCACAACGAGGCATGTAAGATGCAAACCCTCTCGAATATTGTGGCATTTTTGCAGAACGTTTTCAACAACGCAACACGTGCGCAAACGCAGTCGCGCGTCCGTACGAAAGGAAAAAAAAGAGGTAGCCATAACCTGTTCATATTGGCGACATGACATCGATATCCGGAAACCGGGAACGCTTTATCACCACCTCGCAAAATGGGAGCTTATCGAGTTATCTTTCCCATTTGTACGGCGCGCTGACTAATCGATCGTTCTGATACGCACGGCGTGTGTAACACCGCTCATCTTTTTCTTCCGTAAATGTCCGTAATCTCGTGATCGTGTATTTTCTTCGCCGAGGGTGGAGTTTCCGTGCGTTCTGCTTCGAGGGAGCGATGGTACCGATGATACAAATGCGCTTGACGAAATATTCAGGAGCATGATCCGGCTACCTGTTGAAGGTTGAAGTAATGCAATCTTATCGTTGACATGATTCGCTCGGCCCCGAGAGAGACTTGGGAACGTCAAGATTTTGATCCGTGTCTGTTTTAGGTAAACTTGAACAAGTTGTAAATATTTTTAAATATATCCTCTTTTTCTGTCACTGCATTATTCTTTAATGTTAAATAAATTAGTGTTAAATTAAATTTATGATTTTTTTCATTTAGTCCATTTTTTTCATATCACTCATTTGTTGCGCAATGACAACTCAAACAAAGTTTCCCAGAAAATAGTGTTTGAATGTTTTAACTCATTAAAATTTTATAATATTAATTTTGAAATATAATTTTTGTGTGGTGACTTGATTGTAGAGGATTTAAAATTTTTTTTCTTTTTTCTCCTGTGTTTTTATTCTTTTTCTGCAAGCAATTAAAGAATAACAATTATGAAGTTATATTTTTGTTGTAGTAAATGAAGGATATATTGTCTATAAATCTTTCATTATTTATAAATTATTTTATCTAGTTAGATCAAATAATAATATCATTATGATTGCCTTTGATTTTCTTTTACTAATTGTATCCTTTCTTTTATAGGCAACGGAAGAACTCCGTCAATATTTATTAAAGGAACATATGTGATATGTATAGAAATATGACGCAGACTTGCTAGCTCTAAGAAAATGGCAAAAGAGATATATTCTGTAAATACTGCGGCAAATACACTTTGCCGCAGAAAATCTACATATTACATGAAGATCCCACTGAAGTCGACTGAGCAGATATATTTAATATTCCTCATACCGACTTTAATCAATTGTTTCATATATATTATTCATTTCGCTGCTGACTTGGTGGTAGCTATTCAACACTTTAAGGAGGAAAACCCACTATGGGGGATATGTACCGTTGCAATTATCTATTTACCGGCACTCATGTACTTTATACTGACAGTTTCGAGGCCCGACTGGTGGATGACGGAAGATGATAAAATATCGAAAGGAGTTGTCGGCTGGTTCGCCCTTCAAATGTGTCAGTTCATAGGATTCGTGTTCTTCGTATTATATAGGTATTATTTATTTTTCGACATTTGCTTCAATTAAAAACTAATTATATTTTTTTATTTACTTCACGTGGAGTTTAAATAGTAATAAACGGTCATGTGTACAAAATTCGCACATTTTTACAGATTTGCTGGACTCATTGTGCTGTCCGTGGATGCTATAAATTTATCCGGAGATGAGAGGCTCAAGACATTAAATATCGCTGCGGCACCTGTGGCCATCGAATTGTACTTCTTCCTGCAGGCATGGTTTCAAGCCGCTCCGCAGGCAGTCTTTCAGGCGCACCTTCTCTTCAGACAGAGCTCTATGCACCGCAGTTATCAATCACGTAAAATAGAAAAAATCATTTTTGTATACAAACATCATACATACTATTTCTTCTTTATATTCAAGAAATAATATACTTTTTTATAATATATGTATGTGATATGCTGTAATATAATGTATTACTTTAGACAATATAATGTTTTGCAGTGACGGTACAGGTGCTCTGCATCATTATGTCCATTATAATAGTGGCCCTGAAGACAGCTTCTTTTCAAAGATTTGAGAGCCAGCGTGTAAATGGCAGGAAACTACCATGGGCAATGTGGTTGAAGAAGTACTGCATTCAGGTATCGGATACAACTTAACAGTTATTAAAAAAATAATCCACACATAAGCAATTTCAAAATCATATGATTGTACGAATTATACGTTTATTTGACATTACTCAGAGAAAAAAATATATCTTTGAATATAACAAGTATAATCAATGTCAATCAGGAAATTAATAATATCGAGGAAAAGGTGCCACTACAAATGTTACCTTTACCTGCAAAGAAGCAAGAAGACACGGTGAACGCTCCAGCAGAGTCAACGGCGCCGGAAGAAAATACGGTGACCGAGAACGAGCAGGAGCACCAGACTCAATTGCATGCAGCTTTGCTGGACCGTCAGGTCTCCATGACTCCACCGTTACCACCGAAAAATGTACACGTGACACCGCCACCGACGCCGCTTCGCGGCATAACGACGGTCGCACCGCTCCTAGTGCCGGACATACCGGCGCCACCACGTCCAGATTCCGTTTACGCGGAGGAAGAGGCGGCAAAAGCAGCGGCGACCATCGAGTCTGACCAAAGACTGACAGACAGCAACGCGCAGAGCTTGAAAGTTCCTAAACGTAAGTATTCCAAGAAGGGTCTCGAAGAGGACGACCCGATGGGAAAGTTCCTGTCCTTCCTCTGGTGGTTCTTCTTCATCCTGGCGCGCGTGTTCGCCATCGCTGTGGCCTACGAGTTCTATCCGTTGGCCGTGGTGACGATGATATGCGTGCACTACGCTATCATGTTGGCCTACCTGTTCTACTACTCCAAGTATTACGACATTATCACGCTCGTCGTCAACCTCTGGCTCGGCCTGGTCTATATATTCAGCCTGATCGAGTACCGGATCAAATTCAAATATGCCGACTGGTGCACGCTGCCGTACTATGTGTTCGTGATCGTGCAGAACGTGGCGTTCACATTCGTGTGGTACATGAACGCCGACTGGAACGGATTCTGGTACACCTACATATTTTGGGCAATCCTTGGCAGCATGGTGCTCTGCGTCCTCTCGTCCGCGGTATACCACGCGATGTTCAAACCAAAGAAACGCAGAGTTTATAGCAGCTGACGATCGTTGGAGGCATTGTCCTTCAGATAAATCTTCTGATTGTGCGAATCATACTTCCGCTTTTAGTTTCGTAACAAGGCGTGTAAATAAACTGTAGATACACATTCAACAGATTAATTGAAAGTTTCAGAAGAGACAGAAATCTTCTAGGCATTGGCGGCTTTCTATACTTTATTTACACCTTATAAATGTTTTTTCGATTTTCGATAAAGCTTTAGACCTCTCGGTGTTCAGACATTTCGAAAATGTTTTATACAAAAGTATATTAAATTATATATCATTTATTAAACCTATATATAGCTATTGCTATATATTACAATTGTCTTATGCTAATCATAGAATGTAACATGATTGGTATAGAAAAAGATTTTTAGACATAATCATTAGATTGATGCAAAAACTTCCTGTACTTGCCAAATAGACTTACTATTAGATACGCTATTGCGTACAGAAAGTTCGAATTGATTTATTAACTTTCAGAGGAGGCGAGAGGATTTATTTTTTTAATATTTCAGTTTTTCTTTGAATAAAATTTATTATAATTTATTATAATTGCATTTCTTGTTTGAAAATATGACATTGTTCCAATGTCTCTATACCTACACGGAACAAAATAGATATCCAGTGGATATCCACATATTTATATGTTCATATCGATGGATAATTAATAGATATCTAAGATATATAAAATACTTATATCTGTCGAGTAACCAGCGTGTGGATATCTACTGGATGTTGACATGTTATCTACATATTTATGTCCATGAAGTAAGTATCAATGTATCCACTAGATAATCTGAGCTATATACAGTACTGGACAAAATAAAGTACGCACTCCAAACATTTTCACATTTATGTAAATAACTCGCCAGTCCTGGCAGATAGCATAATGATGAATGAGGTAAAAGAAAGGTATTTTAGTCTACTTTGCAATAATGATTACAAAAATTTTAAAAACAATTCGAAATCCTTTAATAGTCAAGTCCATTACATTTATTATCAAATTTATCATGGACAAAATAAAGTACGCAAGTGAAAAAAAAGTGTGATAAAGACAAAGTTTATAATTAATACTTTGTATGACCACCTTTTGCTTGTATGACGGCTTGCAAACGTCGAGGCATACTTTCGACAAGGTTTTGGATGTGTTACTGATCGATATTTTTCCATGCTTTCATCAATGCTTCCAACAACTTAATTTTATTCGTTACTTCCCCTTTATCAAGCTTCAGGTCCAAAATCGACCACAAATTTTCAATCGGATTCAGATCTGGCGATTGCGCTGGCCAATCGAGCAGTTTGTGATCCAGAAGTACGAAAAAAAGCGGTAGTTTTACGAACGGTATGTTTGGGATCGTTATCTTGTTGAAAAATGAAGTTGTTCTC